GAAAGAGGACTATTGAAATCATGGACTATAATTGTAACATGAGTCTATTTTAATTAACCTGTTCTAATTTTCAATTAAAAGTGGAAAAAACAAAAGATATGAAAGAATATGAAATCATGTGCAATATGTCCTTTATTATGATATAAAACCATGAAAGTATAGAAAGAAATATGTCAAAAATTAATGGCAATTGTGTATGATGCTAGAATTATGGATAACTTTCTCTTCATCTTTATTTATGTGGTAATTTCTAAAAAGAAATGAAAATCTTAAAGTTACTGATATGAATGGTGACATACATCTACATCTGTAGATATTTGATATCTCAAATATTGCTATGTTTTTCAAGATTTATTTATTGCTCGCTCCTAAATCTTGACAGAGTACTCAAAATTATGTTCCAGGAATATACTAGACAAATGCTCATCATAAAATATTCAAATAATTTTCTAATACCAAAATATTCTAATAATCAAATATTCTAATAGCAATATAAATCTTGTTAATGATAACCCTAATTAAAGAAAAATATATGTCAGCATTTGTTAGAATGTGACCACAAGATAATACCATTGATTATTTCTGCTGTGTCTTTAAATGACCCTTGGAATTTCTTTGTGAACAATTTCTAAAAATGGATTTGATATTTAGTACTTAAAACAACTCTGAGAAACCCAAGAAAACATGTTTTATAACTCTAAAGTCTCATTATCTTATTGTTTTCAGAAAATATCAAATATTTTTATGAAATACATATCATTTTATTAACTTTCTTTTTTTTTTGGTATTGGGGACTGAACCCAGAGATGCTTAACCACTGAGCGACATCTCCAGTCCTTTTTTTATTTTTACTTTATTTAGACATCATGTCTTCCTGAGTTGATAAGGCCTTGCTAAATTACTGAGGCTGGCTTTGAACTTGTGATCCTCCTGCCTCAGGCTCCTGTGCCACTGGGATTACAGGCATGTAATCCTTCTTATTAAAAGTTCAGTTTATAATTCTTCGTATTAAAAGTTCAGTTTATAATTCTAATTTATTACTGAAGTCTCATTTTAATATATAACTTCTCATTAAAACAATTAGAAGTGTTTCACCTGCATTTCCCCCTAAATATTATACTTTTAATATGCCCAAACTTTATTCAAAAATGCTTTAAGTTTCCTTTTGAAACAAAAATTAACTCATAATATTTTTTTTCCTAATTCAAAATCTTTTTACTGATATTCAATTTCAGATAACTTAAAAGTTTTTATTCCCTTAGGTCCATGACTTACCAAAGATTTTTTAAAGAGTCTAGTTTTAGATAAACAGAAGTTGAACGCAGTCTCTCTGCATTCACACTAGTCCACACCATGTTAAAGTCGTTCTGTCTTCTAGAGAATTAACTTCTCAATTCATGAAAATGTGTACATAGAAATTTAAAAATTCCAAAAATAAATGGAATGATTTTCAAGATTCTGATATCAGCATTCTGTCTATATATACCTATAATTCTGCCTTTAAACTCAACATTTTTAAAGCAATTTCCCTATTGCCAAGCCCATTTCAAAGATTTACTACTTTGGAAGATAACAAATAAAGCAATCTTTGATAAAATCATTAACGTTCTCAGTCTTATAATACTCAATTGATAAAGCAAGATTACCACAAATACACATAAAGCCTATCCACCAGGCTATCTGTGTTCCCATTTTAATCTGAAATGAAAAATCATTCTTGTCTTTCACTAATGTCTTATAGTTTGGACTCATGAAGTATTTTCATTTGTTTATTAAGATTGATGACTTTTATTCCTTTTTGGACCTTGAATCTCACAGAAATGAAGAGATTGCAGGTGTTAGTAGATCAGGCATTTATTCTTCACTTTCTCTTAGTGCTCATAGACAAAGTTTGTAATATCTAAAATCTGAAGGTCAGCTTCCTCTTGCCATGAAGGATCTGAATGTCCTCATGAAAACTATTCTCTGAATAGCCTTGTATATTCAACTCAAAAAATATGTGCTTGTGAAAGGAGACTTATCCACACCATAAAATCAGAGAATAATGTGTACAGGAAGGCACAAAGAACACATAATGATGCATGAATTGTTTCATTTTTTTTTTTTTGGTTAAGATTTTATTCAAAGTTTGGGGTATTTAAGACTTGGATAAAAATGCTGATTTCACTTAAGAAATAAAGAAGAGGTGTTATGCTTTGGCTATGAGGTATCACCCCAAAGGTCATGTATGAGACAGTGCAAGGATTTTCAGAGGTAAATGATTAGATTATGAGAGATATGACCTAATCAGTGGATAAAAACTGGGCAGTAACTGCAGGCAGGTAGGTTATAACTAGGGGGAGTAAGTCACTGGAGGTATGCCTCTGGGGTTTATATTTTGTCCTGTGTGAGCAGAGTGCCCCGCCCCCTCTTCTTCCCGGTTGCCATGTTCTGAGCTGCTTTCTTTCATCTTGCCCTTCTGCCATGATGTTCTGCCTTACTTTGGGCCCAGAGTTATGGAGTCGGCCAACCATGGACTGAAACTTTAAAACCATCAACCAAAGTAAACTTTACTCTCTCAGTAGGTTGTTCTTGTCAGTCTTTTGTTCATAGTGATGAAAAGATTGCTAAAATAGAAAGTTTACAATTTTAATGCTATGAGACATAGGATTAAAAAAACACATAAATATTAGTAATTTTGTTTTTTACCTTGTGTTTCATTGTTATCCCATACATTTTTTTTTTCTGGAAAACTGTGTGTTTATGCATTTCCAGGTCCAATAGTATCATATTGATAGGAGAGAGGAAATGGTGTCTCAAGCTGTCACATATAGACTATAAAGCTTTATAAAGTTATGTGTTAAGGTCTACTTAAAACCACATTTGCTGGTTCTGAAGTCAGACTCTGAGACATAGTTGCTAAATATGTGTTAAATGTCTTTTCACTTTTATTAGCAATCTCATTGGTTAATCTGTATGAAACATCCAAACATAGCATTGACTGAGGTTATTTCCATGGTATCATACACAAATAATATCTTTTTTAGTTTTCAAAATAATTGAGAGAAACTTTTTTTTTGGTACTAAGAATTGAACTTGGGGTGCCTAACCACTGAGTCACATTTTCACCCCACTCCCTTTTTTCATACTTTATTTTGAGACAGAGTCTCACACAGTTGTTTAGGTTGGGGTCTTGCTAAATTGCCGAGGCTGACTTTGAATTTGAACTCACAGATTTCCTGTCTCAGCCTCGCAAACCTCTGGGAAAATAGGTGTGAACCACTGCACCCAGTTTATAATGTTTTTGTATAGCACTTATAAAAACTTGAATAAAAGTTAATACTTATATGAAGAATATCTGTAGGTAAAACCCCATTTGATCATATATATGTGTGTGTGTATGTGTGTGTGTATGTGTGTGTGTGTGTGTGTAAACGCTACAGGAAAGGAATAATAACATATAGCTAAATGGCTACTATTATCAATAAAAGATTACTATGACAATGGAAATAGACAAGGAATAGAAAATAAAAATTTGCACAGAGCTTAAAATTTCCAAAATTTATGAAAAAGGCCAAATTAGTGGTTTTAAATTATGAAAGCAGCAATTTGGGGCTGGAAATTAATAGTAAATGCTCAATAAATATTTATTGATTAATGAATAAATTGAAATTTTTATCCATCAAGATGGCAAAACATTGTAAAATAATATAAATCCACGGAATTAATATGATATCCAAAGAAAAGATAATAGCATTCAATAACTCCCAGTTTATTACTATGATTATTGAGTGTGTTGGGGCTGGGATTGTGGCTTAGCGGTAGAGCGCTCGCCTAGCACGGGCGGGACCCAAGTTTGATTATCAGCACCACATTGTCCATCTACAAAAAAGATTCTCTCTCTCTCTCTCTCTCTCTCTCTCTCTCTCTCTCTCTCTCTTAAAAAAAAAACACTAGTGCAAAAACTAGTCATTCTCAAATAACTCAAACTGCATTTTAAAAAATTAACAGTAGTGCCAATATACATGGCAAGTCAGTCTTAAGACAGTCTATAACAGAAAAAATATTTTGAACTCTGTCATTTAAACAAAGAGGATTTAGAATACAAGAAATTTTATATTAATTTATATACACAAATTGGTATTACTTCCAAGTATTGCTCTCTCTGGTGAGAACATTTCCCCCAGTATAAGCACAGATGTATGTAGAAGAGAGAAAACAATAAAGTATCCTGAATAAGGCCCATGAACAGACGATGGGATTTCTCCTTTCCCATGAATCTTCATTCCAAGGAACAGTAGAAAAGACTGAGGGGGAAAAATTGCTGGTACACTCTTGTCATATTATTGATACTTCTTAATATTTGGGGTTCTCTCAAAAAAATATTATTTTATTTTCTTCCTCTATAGTTTATCTATGTTGCCCAGAAACCATTGACTTCCTGGAATTTTTATTAAGAATTCCACATTCTTGCCATGTTTTTCAAATACCGTGGCCTCTGCCAATAAATTCTTATAAATTTTCACTTCTTTTCTTTCAATAATATCCTAGAGAATATGATTCAGGCTCAAATTAATCACCGATCATGTTAATGGTTCCTAGGAGTTTACTTCCGATACCCCTTATTATATTAAATCAAACTTGATAGTGTGCTAGATCATTGCTCAGCTGGGTCTTCATAAAAGCACTGGTATTTAATATGATTTATGCCTAGTTTTCTGTTAATAACTTTGCTTATTGTGTGCATTATTTTTAAAACAGACATTCTTAGCAAATGGTACTCCTTTAAACTGTATCATACTTTTAAAATATTATATAGGAAACATTTTACAGTAAAATGTATCACTTATTTTGTATTATAGTCACATAATAGTGAACAGGAACAATTTATTTAATTTACAATGAAAAACATTAATATTTTAATTATAGTTGGAAAAGTATGCGTACATGTGTATGTTTTGTTAACTTAAAAGATAAATTATATGACAAGATTTTTAGGAAATGTGTTCTATTTTTTAAAGCTTTGCAGCAAAGGGGCAGCTCTGGGAAAACCTTTTGAATCATCTGCTGAAGATATAGCAAGCGTGGCAAGTTTCATTGAGACAAAGCTTGTTACCTGCTATCTTCGGATGAGGAAACCTGACCTTGCTCTGAATCATGCACACAGGTAAAATAAAATGCTACTAACCACAAGGAAATACTATCCATGCAAGGATAGGGAACTGTCAGAGCTTGTCTGATCATCTTCTATTTCATATCAAGTTAAAGATAAAACCAAAAAATTATATACTGTTCCATTTATGAAAAGCTACATAAAACATGGAGACAGCAAAGGGGATCTCAAAACCTAATGGAAGAAATAAATATATAACCAACTTTCATAATGCAGGGCAAAATAAAAAAGCAGATAACTATAGTATCACATTACCACAAGAAAGAAAGGAGAGAGAGATTCAGGTAAGAAAGGGAAGGAATATTGAAGGGTAAAAAGTGTTTCTGAAATGTAAGAACAGATGGGGAATGGCAGAAGGATATTCTGACTGTGAAGCATCAGACACGACTTGAAAGTTCCTGGTTTGTTTGGTGATAACACAGCTGATTCAAAGGATGCTGGAAGCCTTTGGACAGCTTTCCAAAGGGGTGAAATACTTTTTATCTATGTTCTTAAAGATTCCCTTTTCATATTTATATCCTTCTTGAGAATTCTGTATCATATTATCATGTGGCTTCCTAGAATTCCCATGATTACCTGGCCTATTTTTTTCTTTTATAAAAATGATCCTATCCTATGTCCTATTTTCTAAGGTCCTGCTCTTATCAGTAATAATCAGTTTTAATCTGCAGCACAGATAAAGTGATTATGTTATGCCTTTCAAATAATCCTTTCCTTAAAATTATGAAGCCTTTATCCCTCCCTGCCCAACTTTGAGCAATTTGCTTAGAACTTTGTGTTGTCCTTTTTCTGATCTCACGTCCTCATACTTCTTTTAACAAAATGGCAAAACTGTTATCCCTATGAAAATGTAATATCTGCTTTGTTAATGTTAGGAGATATAATTATCAGTTATATTGAGACCCTTAGGTAAGTGAGAAATCTGCTAATATGGTAAAAGTCATTTGAAACTCACATCAACTGGGATATAAATGTTCAACCCAAGATTTTTTACTACCCTAATAGTGGTCTTGATCTGATATCAAAAACCTACAGACAACAAAACCACTTTGAAATTCAGAAGATAACCTACTTGAAAGAAATTCTCCTGCTTAAGTAAACTACAGAAACTAAAGACAGATTCTCTTTGATGCCAAAAGAAAATTCTGCTTTCTATATATCTAGCAACATTTTATGCATCCATAGTTTCCAAATCAATGTCAGGATATATGGTTGGTCAAAGAATTGTACTTCATTTCCATTTAAAAGAAGCAGTATTAGAAAGGTAACATATATTTCAAAATGTCAAAATATTGTAATATCTGGGCTACTAAGGTGGCTTGGAGCACAATGGGAAAGCTAATCAAAATTAATACTAGTCCAAAAACTATCTATAGACATACAGAAACAATAATAAGTTGAGATGCACTGCAATTATATGACACCTTCTCCATGACTTTCATCACACTCAAAAGGACCACCACTATAAGCTTACATTTTAAGGAAAGTATCTCCTAGATATCAGAATATTTTGATGGGTTTTTGAATCATATTTAGTAATAAAAGCCTCAAATGGTATGAATTTTGATTTTCTCAAATCAAGATTCAATTCAGTTTATTAAAAATGAGTTCTGGGAAGGAAGGATCACTCAAATATAAGATACTGTTTCAGTCAGCTGTTTCAACACTGTGAATGACAGGCCCAACCAGAACAATTGGAGAGGAGGAAAAGTTTATTTGAGGGCTTATGATTTCAGAGGTCTTAGTACATAGAAGGCTGACTGCATTCCTCAGGACCCAGGGTGAGGCAGAACTTCATGGTGGAAGTGTGACAGAGGAAAGCAGCTCACCTGATTGATGATCAGAAAGCAGTGAGAGAGAGAGATCTCACTTGCCAGATACAAAATATAGACCCCAAAACCACACCCTCAATACACCACTCCTTGAGCCACACCACACCTGCCTTTAGTTACTACTCAATTAATCCCATCAGGTGATTAATTCACTGAATGGTTTAAGGCTATGACCACATCATTTCTTCTCTGAACCTTCATGCATTTTCTCACATGTGAGTATTTGGGAAACACTTCACATCCAAACCATAACAGATAAAATTCAAATATAAGAACAATAAGATGCTACTATCTCTAAAAATGCACAGTCAGCTACAATAGGTTCATTGTTTAGAATTAGAAAGCTTTTGTCTTAAAACTAAGAGTGCTATTCCAAGACCTTGAGAATTATTTAGGAAAAGAAATATAATGATAGATAGTAACATGATCTTCCCTATTATGTTAATATTAACTTTGATATACTTTTTTTTCTGCTATAAACTAACTTTTACTTCTATTTCCAAGTTGAACACTAAGTAATAAATGCAAATCAATAGAGGTTAAACAGTCAATTCATACAATTAATAATGCACCAAGAGAAATAAATCATTTTTCTGTACTTGTTATAGTGCAAAACTATAGAAGTCAGTGCGTATTTCATATTAAAGCATTTTCAAATATCCTAGACATAAAAACAGAGTCTGAAGTATAATCAACAAATATATTTCATAATAAATTAATTAATCAGGATATTTAGTCTATAAATAGCTTATAACCATTTGTATAACTATACAAAGAATACAAAATTCTGCTTTTGTATTATAACCACATTGTAATAGTTGATACCAATCATGCATCAAAATTAAAATATTCCTTTTTTGCATTTATTTGCATTAGCTGAAACATCCTTTCTTTAATTTTATGTAAATGCAAGGTCTACTGCATATTTTTAGGAGACCTGTTAACAAAAAAAAATTAGTTAAAAATAATCATGTAGTTTTGCTTGTGACGAGAATAAACATATTGTTTTGTCATGTAGAAGGCTTCAAGAACCATAACTTTATGGTTTAAGATCAACAAAAACACATTTTGAAATTAATCAGTTAGGTCGCCAGTTAAATAATAAAAATGACAATATGTGATACAAAATCTTTAGAAAAAAATTGTTATCAATAACGGGGTTTTTTTCTTATAACAAATCTAAGATGACAAATACAATTTTCATTTTTTACTTCAACCAAAGTGCTGCCTGGACCCACCAGTGAAGCACATCAACTCTGCATTCATTTCATCAAACTAGTGCCACTGTTTATCAGTCGGTGTTTTGAACTTCCCTAAGTCTGATTCCTAATTACAGCTGTCTTATCAAAGATGGAAATCCTGCTATAATTCTTTTTCTATCATGTAATTATATTTTGATGTGCTTAATTATGAAGATTCTAATGATGCATGTCACTTTTTGTATATTCCTTACCTCTAGTTTTTGTTGGAGAATTTTGTTGCCACAAGATGGCAGACAAGATGAAGTCTAGTTCCAAATATGTAAAAAGATTCTATTTTTAACAGTGTAAAAAATGGTGGTATGTGCATTCATTTATTCATTCAAAAAGTTATCTATTAAATCACCACCAAGAGCCCATTAATGTGTTGGACACTGGAAAGACATTTATAGTTATACAGAAAATACATGGTATTTATACATCAGCCACAGTAGCAAACAAAATGTAAAAAAAAAAAAAAATTAAATAATATTAAATGTTTGAGATAGAGATACATACTCTGATAGAAATAAACATAATTTCACGATGCAGCAACAACACAGTATGTTGAATCAGAACACAGAGTATAGATTCAGACTTAGGCTCAAATTCTGACTCTGCTACTCACTAGTTATCCAGAATTTAATTTTCCATAAGATTAGGCTTATAATAAAAGTACCTACTCCATAAACATCATCACACAAGATTTTGTGGAAATTAAATATAAATCCATGGATTTTTAAATTCCAGATATGACTGCTTTACTAGTACTGGACCATTATTCTGACTATAAACAACTATAAAACTGGACAAAATATAGGAAGCAATTATTCTCAAGCATTGGACAATGTTCAGAACAGGCTGATTCTTGAAAGAAGAGAAATACATGTTGTGAATGCCACAATTCTCTCATCTTTTACTGGTTTATTTTTCTACTCAAATTCAGGGATATGGAGACCCACGTTGTACAGTAGTAGTCTTGATAAACTGAGGAGGCAGGGAACTGAATACAAGTCTTCCCACAAAGCTACCATTTAGAAGGATTGTTCCCACAGCAGCATGAAAGGGTTGATGAGCATAATCTGCATAAGGATTTACTGCTTGTTCTTAGCCAAAATTGAGACAAGCATATGAGGAATGAGATTCCATGTAGCAGAGATTGTTTGCTACATAACTAAATGCTAAATGGGAATACTAGATGAATGCAGGAGTGAGAGATGTAAAGAGACCCTACTGAGCACCGCAGGCATTTAGTAAAGACCCAAAAAATCATGCTTTACAAATAAGGACCATGAGCTACAGAAAGATTAAACCTTAGAATTAAGCTCAAAGCCAAAATAGACATGCACTAAAAAAAAGTTAAATCCAAGCTAGTTAAAAACAAGAGTATCTGCCACTTGATTTTCTAACAGAAAATAAAAACCTTGGATGTTTTCAAGGAAATTTTATAACCCAGATTCCCTATAAGAATTCATCCAAAATATTCAGCATAAAATTTAAAATTATTATTTGTGCAAAGAAGTAGGAAAATGAGACTGATAATTAAGAAAATAATCATTCCATAGAAATAGACCTCAAGGTGACACAGAAGTTGACTTGGTAACAAGACTTCAACAAAATTATGAAAATATGTTTCAACACCTTAGAATAGAAATGGTCACAATTAGTTAAAAAATGAATCCCAACAGAAAAAATGGAAACTATAGACAATAACAAAAAAGAGATTTAGTATATGATAATAAAATGTTTGAAAGAAATACTTATTAGTTGACCATAACATCATGCTGCAGTCTGGCTGGGCACAATTCAGGAGCCACATGTCAAAGGAAACGAACTTTATTTTTAGAACACACACACCACACCACACAGCTCTTCAGGAAAACCCTCAGAGCCCAACTGCCACCACCGGCTTCCCACAAGCCTC